AAAAAAATATTTCCGTTTCTCTTGTCTGAGAAGCAGGAATAGAGAGAGCCCTCCCTTCTCTTGTCTCCAGGGAAGGCATTGAGGGTCCCATAGGAGGCGAGCACGCTCATGTGTGCCTGTAGAAGCCTTGGCCCTGTCGCTGCAGGCCAGTGTCCCTCAGGGCCTCGCTGTCCTTGGGTGACCTGGAGCAGTGGCTGCCTGTGTGCATCTTTGATTAGTTTCTAAGAAACTGTCTGAGGCCCAGCAAGTGCAGGCTGTAGGTGAGGGATGGGTGAACATGGTGGGTTGCTCCCGAAGCCCCCCAGAGGGAACAGGCTTCGAAGCGCTTTGAGGGCTGGAAGAAGGCGTGACTCCTGCACGTGAGCGCTGCCCACACACAGCACTGCTCAGTTGATGTGGAAGGACAGGCTGACCCACAGCAGGGCGTCCATGGCACAGCTGCAGTGCCTGCAGGTTCCCAGCCCCTCCCAGGCCGATTGCTTCTGGTGCCCTGGGACAGCTGGCCCTGTAGGAATTTGCCCGTCAAGTCCTGGACGGTGTGTGGGATGGGTGTCCAAAGGAAAGGCTCCGGGAGGCTCAGCTGCGGGGCAGAGCCTGCGGGAGGGGTCTGGGCTCAGGGCTCGGCGTGCAGACTGCTGTTGGACCCTGGGTGATCTGAGCAGGAAGTGCTGAGTTGAGGATCCCTTACTTGCAACTAGTTTATTTATAAATTAAGGCAGGGCCAAGGCAGGGAGGGAGTAGACATGCACACACACACTCAGGCAGGTCTGTGTTTTGATTCATTTCCCACAGCCAGGGCTGTGCCCAACAAAGCCAGGAACCTGGAATTCTCCATGTCTTTCAGCTCCCGAGTGGGTGGCAGGGTCTCAAGGATGTTGGCCACCCCCTGCTGCCTTCCCAGGCTCGTTAGCAGGGGCTGGACACAAGTGGAACAGCCAGGACTGAACCAGCAATCTGACGTGGGATGCTGGCACCGCAGGTGGAGGATGAGTGGACTACGCCATCATACCAGGCCCAGAAATTTTTTTTAAGTAGATTTGAATCAGCGGAGTTCATATGATGTAAAGAGGGTAGTGGGAAAGATTTAAGTTCTGGGCCTCCAGGATCTATATGTAGGATAATTTGAATGGAATGCAAAGGGAAGAAATCCAACAGTGAGTCTGAGTGAACCTGAGCTGGCCATGCCCGTGATGAATGTGGAGAGAGACACTGAGGCTGGACTCAAGGCTGGACAGGAGTGAAGCTGTGCTGAGCACCTGCTAGATGGCTGTATTTGGCTGTCAGCTTGGGGCACTGTGTGTGCGCTCTGGCCTGCTGCTACTGTCTGGGGACAGGGTGGTGTGTCATGAGCTGTGTGGGACGACAGGCTGACCTGACCGAGGACTGTGCCAGAAGTCTAGGAAGACCCTGCGCTCCCGGGGTCCCTGTTTGCAGCTGTAAGTGCAGAAGTAGCCGCAGCCCAATGCGGTAGCAGTGGGCTGTGGCTGGCCCCTGGGCTGTCTCCTGGCGACAGGTTTCTTGCTAATGTGGTATCAGCAGATACATTTTAAAAAGGAGGATAGATGGTTCATTTAAGAGGGGTTTATCATCAGTGTCTCTGGTATTCAAGTGAAATAAATTAAGTTAATGGGGAGCTCTTTTATAGCCTGTCATGGAAAAAAAGTACATAATTTTTGTCACAATTTGCATGTATGTAGTTGAAAGAAGAAAGGAGTAACAACATTTATTCTGTCATGTTTTCATTAAGTTGCACTAACACAGTGCAGGAAATTGAATCTGACCTGAGGTGGTAGAAGCTGAGAAACACCAACTTTTTGACAACAAGTTAGGGGCCATGCCAAGTGCAAGGTAGATCCTGCCCTGGTGGGTGAGTGCCAGCAGCTGCTCTTTGGCCCCCACTGCAGGTGGAAGGAGTGAGTGCTTGCCTCCCGTGGCCCTCTTAGCGCTTCCGGGAGCTGGCTCTGCCCGTGTGTGCCTCCTGCAGACTTCCAGGTCCCCCTGGGGTGGTGGGGGCAGGCGGGATGACCCCTGGGGTGAAGGGGGTAGGCAGGGTGCTCCCGGCCTGTGAGGCCTGAGGTCTGGTGCTGGTCTTCAGGAAGAGCCGCAGGGCAGGGCATCTTACGTGCTCTGGCGCCAAGGGGAGCTGGAGGCTTGCATGGGCTGGGCTCCTTTCTCTCTTACACTGCAGCTTCTCTCAAGGGTGCCAGGCAGGGCAGGGCAAGCGATGCATTCCCTTTAGCCCCCAGAGTGGGTCATGTGGTACTGAGGCAGCTTGCAGAGAACTGTGGGCACCCCCACCTGTGCAGCCCAGCAATCCTTGGTAATCCTAAACACAGAGGACCTGGAGAGCTTTCTCTGTGTGTGTGTCAGCATCGTAACAGAAATTGTACGTCTGTTAATGCATGAAGAAGAGCAATAGTAAGTCAGTTATATATATATATGTGTGTGTATCTATATATTTTTAAGATTTACTTGTTTTTACTTGGAAAGTCAGAGTTACACAGAGAAAGGAAAAGACAGGGAGATCTTCCATCTGTGATTTGGGGAGTGACTCCCCCAGTAGCTGCAGCAGTCAGAACTGGGCCAGTCTGAGCCTGGGAGCCAGGGTCTCCAATGCGGGGTAGGGACTGTGAGCAGGGAGCCAGATCAAAAGGATGTGTTCATACAGGATGCTGACACCAGCAGGGAGCAGATTAGGGCATCCCCAGTAGGTACAGGGACCCGCGTACATGGCCATCTTCTGCGGTTTCCCCAGAACATACTAGAAAGGAGTTGGATCAGGAAGAAGTGGAGCAGCTGGGACTTAAACTGATGCCCACATGGGAAGCCAGCGTCACAGATGGTGGCTCTTCCTGCCCCGCCACAATGTCAGCCCCACGAATGTTAAGTGAAACTGGTATTTTAGAAGTTGAGAGTGTGTGGTACAGTGCAGCTCAGTTGTGGTGAGTACCAGGTGGCCCTCAGCCTCCATGCATGCCAAGCCCCTCTTCCGGTGCACTGTCTATGCAGGAGCAAGGCCTGGGGCAGTCCCAAGGCCCCCTCAGGGGACCTGCGTGAGTCTGAGAAATGACAGAATGTCATGTGCAGACAGCCAAGCAAGACTCGAGATTTTCAGAAGTAAGTTCACTTGAACTTGGAGTGTAGTTTGAGGGCTACCCATCCCTACCCCAAGAGAGCACGTGCCCAGGAGGACTTGCTGGGCCCTGGGTGTGTCCCCCTCATTGCAGTCTTGTAGGGCAGAGGAGACATGCTGTGGACCTCCTAAGGTTAGGCGCCAAGCCCGGGCCAGTGACAGTGACAGCCTATTCACAGGAGAGCACTTGTCGGTTCAGTGAGTCACGGGAAGAACTGGCTGCCTTCTGGGTTGACAGCCACTCATAAGGGCTGGGCATCATGGTACGTGAGGTTAACCTGCTACCTGCGATGTCAGTATCACACTGGAGTGCCAGTTTGAGTTCTGGCTGCTTCACTTCCGGTCCAGCTGCCTGCTCATGGTCCTGGGACCAGCAGGAGAACCAGCACCGCAGGAGGAGACCAGGTTGATGGAGTTCCAGGTTCCTGGCTTTGGCTCCCAGCCCCAGCATTTGCTGCCATTTCGAGAATAAGCAGATGCAAGATCTCCCTGCATCTCTGCATGTTTCTATCTCTCTCCTTCTCCATAAGGAAGGCCTGTTCATTCAGGAATACACCAAGTCTTTATCCCTGCAGGAATCGGATTCCAAGAAGATGGCTCTTGTGTCCTTGACCTTTGTCCTATCTGCTGGTATACTGTTTGGATCTTGACCTTCCTTATTTGAGTAATCCATCACTAGACATTGTGTTGTGTACAAGCCACAGTTAATAGAAGGTTCGCTCTCTGCCATGTATTGTGGGCAGCCATGTGTGGTTAGTTTTCAGTGGACTTATTTTATCCCCACGGTGGACAGGGTCCCTGCCTCTCCACGATGGACAAGGTTCCTGGGGCCTTGCTGTGGGACCGGAGTGCAAGAACTGAGTCCATCTGGCATGGGAGCATCCAGTGGAGCACAGGAGGTGCTGGGGTCAGAGGTGGCTCACCGTGACCTTGAGCAGGCCGCCACCCTGTGGAGCCAGCTTTCCCTGCTGCATGCCCTTTGCTTGCTGCCCGAGGTGCATGAATGACGGCCTTTGAAGGCAAGAGGACGCTGACGAGCCCAGGAAAGACGGAGTGAGGGCCCTGCCACCAGGCCGCCAGACTGCTGGGCTTGGGTGTGCCCTTGTGCAATGGGGTTCATTTCTGTGTGTCTTAGAGTGGTGGGTATCAGGGTCATGCTGCCTGCTCCCCACCTCCCTGTGCAGGCGTCAGTGGGGTCTCAGGAGACTTGAAGTCCCATGGAGTCAGTACCACAGGGGATTTTCCTGCACATGCCAGCCTCAGACTTGCAGCACAGGGCCTCTTGAAGCAGGGTGGGACCTCATAATCCCTTGGGAATGAGCCTGAAGGAAGCCCGTGATCCATGGGCTCCACGGGACCCCTGGTGTGGGTGGGTTACCCGGTTCTTAGGGAGCAAGTGGGCTGTGAGCTGGGCTGTTGGGTCCTCTGCTCTCACAAGTCTTGGGACAAGAAGTTTCTTGTATTCTGTTAGCAGAACTCTACTTGAAGCATTCCTTGATGAAGCAGGTGGGGAGTGGGGTGCGGGGTAGTCAAGACGTCCCCTTCCATGGCCAAGGTTGTTTTCTTTCTGTTCTGTTATTTGGGATGTGTTTCTTGAACAGACCCAGGGTTGTGGCTTCCTCCTGGCCTCGCTGTCCTTTAAGGCCTGCCCTGGGCAGTGCCTTGGTGTTGGCACTCGGAGCCCCGGGCTGTGACCGCAGTGGAGAAGATGCTGGCTATCTCCGGGCTTCCTCACCGAGGCTTCTGGAAGCTTCCCTGAAGCTCTGAGGCAGGATGCCCAGGAGCAGCTTCCTGACCACAGAACGAGCATGACGAATGGTGCGGATAACAAGCTCTGACCCTCCTAATGAAATGTTTTCTTTCTCAGTGATGTTACAGCCTTTCGATTATGATCCCAATGAGAAAAGTAAGCACAAGTTTATGGTTCAGTCTATGTTTGCGCCAACTGACACTTCTGATATGGAAGCAGTAGTAAGTACTGAACACTTCTTACTTTTCCCAGTAATAACCATAACAAAACCCAATTAGGAACAGAATTGTGGGTGCATGCATATCAAAGTGTGCGGAATTGTTTAAGGGGAACGGTGTTTGCAAGACTTAGCCCTCCCCTGCAGTTAATAGCGTTGTCCTCTGTTCTCCCGGACTCCTAGCCGAGTGCCTCAGCAGTAGCTTGCCATCTGGGTTGTGCCTTGTGGGGGTGAGATGCTGTGCAGCCTGGTGGGCCCCTCTTGCCTCAGGCTATCCTGGCTTCTCCCTCTAGGCCTTCGTCCCTGCCGGCCGGCCGGGGCTGCTGGGAGGGACACTCCTGAGCTTCAGCCGAAGGCTTGTCGCATGCGGAGCCGTCTCCCCGGCCCTGGGTCACCACCCAGTGTCCCGAGTCTTGAAAGAGCATGTTAGGCCGTCTTTGTTGGTGTTTGACTCTTGGGCAGAAATCAGAGGGCAAGTTGGGGGTTTGTGGTGCCAGGCCATCCGCCCTGCTAACTGATGAAGTGACGGAGGAGAGCCATCTCTGAGACACACTGACTGCCTCACGCTGCGAGTGCGGGCCCGGGTACACTTGTCTGTCTGCGAAGCTGCCGTGGGCCTTCCTCCCTCATGGCCAGGCGCAGTGTCATGCACTCGGGAGGTAAACTGAGGCTGAGATGACGATGCATGTGGGCATGAGGACTGAGTGAGCTGCAGGCCGCGAGCCCGTGCCATGTGTCCCACACGCTCCTGAGGTCTTGACAACAGTTCCAGACAGTTGTTTTTGCACAAATGTACATTGTACAAAATTCTAGACCTATGCAAATGAGCACGAACTAAAAGTGATTTCTGATTTCCTATTTGACCATGATGAGAATTGTCTTGTCCTTTTTCCTTATTGTCAAATGTTTCTTTGTACAGTGGCCACTGTCTTCCGGACTGGCCTTTGCTGGCACTGAGCTACGTTTTCTTCTTTGACATCAGACTTTCTTTTCTTCTCCTTTTAAAAAAAGATTTACTTATTTAAAAGGCAAAATGGCAGAGAGGAACACACACACACACTCACAGGCACACACAGATATCTTCCATCCACTGGTTCATGGCCCACGTGCCCTCAATGACCAGGGCTGGTCCAGGCTGAAAGCAGGAGCCAGGAGCTCTGTCTGTGTCCCCCGTGTGGGTGAGCGTGGCCTAGGTCTGTGTCCCCCGTGTGGGTGACCATGCCTTCCTAGGTACGTGGCAGGAAGCTGTGTCAGAAGAAGAGATGCTAGCACTTGGGCTAGCCTTCTGGTGTGGGCTTTGAGGGTCCTCAGCCGTCTTCACCCCACTGCAGCCTGGCGCCAGTCAGGAGGTATCTGTGGTGTGGAGCCCTTTGGCTGTAGCAGGCGGGCATCGTGGCATTTCAGGCCGACCTGCCTCTGTGAGGAAGAGTTTTTCTCTGAAGAACGTTGGTGAGCATTAGTACCTGCTAAGTCAGTGCGCAGTCAGCAGTGTCCCCTTAGGGCCAAGTGGCCTTCGCTTGCGCTCTTCCAGGAGAATTCCCTGTCTGGCCCTGTCTTTCTCCCAACTTTGAAGTTGGTGAGCGCTCAGGCCAGTTGACACTGCTGCCTAGGATGCCCAAGTTTTAGACCCTCCTGTGGTGTCCTTACCAGGAAAGTTAGACTCAGTCGTTTTGGGCAACAGTATCCTCAGGGGAGTCCCTGTAGCCCCTGGAGAGGCCTCTCCTGCCAGCTGTCCCCTCTCTGATGGTGTGGTCTGGTCACTGGCCTGGACAGGCTGGACTGTGCCTGTGTTTGCCCCTGTGACTAATTGGTGATCGATATGGAGCCCTTGTGGCTGTCGTGCTGGCCAGCAGTCTGTCACCTAGTGACGTAGCATACAGCACTGACCCTCCCCTGTTAGTGCTTGGACACATGCACAGAGGGACAAGCTGATGGTGTGTGATGCCCTTATCCCACACCCTCCTGGAGCCCAGGGCCCTGCAGCGTCCGCTGAGTGGCAGCGTGCATCTGGGGAATGGGTCTTTTGGCACCTGCCCGCCACCCCTGGGCCTGACGGGCGGCTCGTCCCGGGTGTGAGTCTTAGCACTTGTGTTGCTCTTGCTGCCTCCTGCATGACTTCAAGGAGGACGTGCACTTGGGGTTGGGGGAGTCTACCCCCCTTTTCTGTATCACAGTCTTGCACTTGTGCTGGTCTGCAGTTCTCGAAACACCCCAGAAGTCCACATCTTCCTGCTGCAAGGGGCCGTGAGCCAGGACACATCCTAACCCTCAGGCCACCGTGGTGGAGCCCGCTTCTTGGTGCTTGGCCCGGGGCCTCTGATTCACCTGCAGCCACCTGCAGCCACCTGTGCTGTGCTCTTGGCGAGGGCTGTGCTCCCTGAACTAGAGTGGCTTTTCTTGGGGAGCACCAGTGTTAACTGCGGCTGCCCAGACACCATGCCATGGTCACTCCTGCCCAGGGTCAGCAGCGGGGGCACAGTCAGGTGGCAGACTGCCACAGTGACGGAAAGCATTAATGTGTAGGCGAGACCTGTCATGTGAAAGACTCTGAAATCTCTGTGGACGCGAGCTCTTTATTTGACGTACATCAGGGCTTTCTCATTAAGAGTATTTTTCTGAAATTGTCAGTTAGAGAAAAAAATTACTTTTCCAGCAGCTTTATAATATCCTGATTATTAAATTTAAATTGTTTTAGTGGAAGGAGGCAAAACCGGAAGACCTTATGGATTCAAAACTTAGATGTGTGTTTGAATTGCCGGCAGAAAATGATAAACCAGTAAGTATGTTTATAGTTAACGGTAATTGAATGTTGCAAGCTGATACTGATTTGCATACCATCTCCCACAAAACCAAGATCCAGGTTGGCAAATTATTTTCCTCTAATGTGTGAAGGAAGCAAATGAGCTGCAGGCGGCCCCCAGCCGGCCTTTCTGGACGCAGTCTGGGGAGCCGTGCGCAGCAGCAGCCTGCTGAGATGGTTTTCCCTTGAAAAGTACAACCTGTTGTCTGGCTGTTGCCATGCTGCAAAGCCCTGAGTGCTCCTTTGGCTTGGCAGAGAGGTGGCTGTCAGGCAGTGGCTGAGACCCCGATGGAGTGGTTTCCCGTTGGCCATGGTGCTTGGCTCCTAGGCTGTGTAGTTCGGCAGACTCCCCGGACCCCTCCCTCCTGGCCACCTCTCCAAGCCCTGACTCTTCTCCATTAGTGTGGGTTCCCGACCTCTGTCCCAGCGTCCTTGGGGTGTCCTGAACACCTCCCTGCCCTCCACTTGCTGCATCCCAGTGGCACCCCACCCCTGGGACAGCCTGGGATTCCTGGAGATCCTGCTGTCTGCGTGCAGACCCATGGCACACCTCCCTGTACTCCCCCACTGACCCCTCCTGAGCAAGCCCAGTGGGCTCAACAAGGGGCGCCCCCACCCAGACGGGCAGTCAGGGCTGGTGTGTGGCTGCTGCAGACTTGGGTGCCACACACTCCAGGCTGTGTCCCCCTCTTGGCAGTCTCCACGTTGGGGGGTGTTGACTAAGCGCACCGCTGTATGGCCTCCTCCAGTGCTCATGGTGTCTGCCCCAGTCTGCTGTTTGTGGGGGATTCAGTGCCGCTGCAGCCACAGCCCTTTCTCTCCGTGAACTGTCGGTCTCAGCCGGACTCTGAGATTTGGCCTTGTCCATGATTTCTAAGGCCCCGTTGCTGTTGATTATTAAGTCACTAGATACAGTGATCCATTTTGGAAATAAATGGGACAGTTTACAGTGTGGCTGAAGCATTGCTACGGGTATTGTTTGCTGAGAACTACTTTACTTTGCATAAAAATGTCCTTTATTATCTGGTTGGTGACACTTGGGCTTTCATTTATTTCTGAACAGCACGATGTAGAAATAAATAAAATTATACCCGCTACTGCATCAAAGACAGAGACTCCCACAGTGTCTAAGTCGCTGCCTTCTGCTCTGGACGACACGGAGGTGAAGAAGGTGATGGAGGAGTGTAGGAGGCTGCAGGGGGAAGTGCAGAGGCTGCAGGAGGAGAACAAGCAGCTCAGAGTCACCAAGGTAACAGGCATGCGCTGTCCCTGGCTGCACGGGGGCTTGGGCTGCGGCTGGGGGCTTGCCCACCTGACTCTTGCAGGGAGGAATTGCCATAACTTTTGTCACATTCTCAAAAGGGTCTCGATTCCCTCCCCTCCCCTTGCCGTTCAGGCCCGCTGTCCTTGAACAGAAATTTCTTAACTTTCAAACTCCATTGGAGTGAATTGAAAATAGAATTTGAGACTAATCCTGAGTTGCAGGGTGGACATCTGCCCTGGCCTGGACTCTGCTGTTGTTGGAAATTTGAGAAGGGAAGAGAGGGAGGAGCAGAGAGAGTGAGCGAGCTCTGGTCCACCAGTTCACTGCCCAGATGCCCAAGACAGAAGGTGCATGGTGGGAACTTGGTGCTTGGACCCCTGTGGCCTCCGGGGACCTGGAATCAGGAGCTGGAGCTGGGCTTGAACCTGGTGCTTGGGGGCGTGCGCTCTCACAATGTCGATCCCTGCCACCGGCCCCAGTGCCTACACCTGTGACCTCTTGTACCTTGGGTGTGAGTTAAGTTTTCCCAAGGAGCAGTGACTTGTCAAAACAGCAGCCTGGTGAGTGGTTGGCCGTGGTGTGTTCCACAGCAGCCAGGAGCTGACGGTGCGGGAGGAGACCCAGCTTGCTCCTGTCGCGGCAGGGGCAGGAAGGCCTGCGGTGCTCAGAAGTGGCGCTCGGGCAGCATACGCCTGGCCTGCTCACAGCCAGCGCTCCTCGGGCTTTGATTAGACATGCCTCGAAGACGCTTGAGTCCGCCTTGACACGGGATTAGAGGGAATATTTGGAACATCTGATTGTGGGCACTTGGGTGCCAGCTTAACTCTTTAGGCCTGCCTGTTCTGCTAATCTTGATTGTGCCACCCAAGCATGTAATAGGTTTTCAGTCTTTGACTACCATAGCACCAGGTACCAGGACAGATTCACTCCTGTTGCCTCTTCCTTCTTGGTTCTTCCGACAGTGAAATGGACGGGAGAGGACTGGCAGAGTTTGGGAAATGCATTCAGGCCGTCCTGATTGGCCCTTCTGGTGACTTCTTTCTGCGTGGAGTAAATTAGGAAGTCGGCACTTCACTTTTTGGCTGAGCAGCTTCTCCCTGAGTCTGTTTCTCTCGGGAAACGGCTCTGTATCATTTGAAGTGATAAATAGGTAGAAATAGCCCCATATAAGCCCAGCACAGCAAACGGTGCATTTTGCTGCACCTATTTTTTTAAGTTAATCAAATGCCGCCAGTCATTTATCACTGTGCAGTGATGCCAGCCAAGCACCACAAGCCGAGTGTCTGTAAAATATTACCGGATCATTCTGGATGCCAGAAGAGCCTTGGTCCTGCCAGACCCTGACTGCTTCTGCACTGGCCGCGTCCTTCTTTCGATCGGGCCAGCGGATTTACTGAGGCTGCACTGTGCCCGGCGGGGCTTTGTGCGCGCAGCCCCCGTCCTTGAGTGACCACTCAGTGTGATGGATGGTTCCTCAGCGGGAACAGCAAGCTGCAAAGGAGGCTGATTCTGTGGGCGCATCTGCCTGTGGATTTGGGACATGGAATAACAAGTGGAGGGCCTGGCTGCAGAGCCTGGAGGACCCTCAGCATGGCCTGCTGCTTCTTCAGCAACACTGGGCAATGGATGGGGAGTGGACAGCCAGGGCTCAGGCTAGCTGGGGCCCCATGTCCTTTGTGCTTAGAGGAAAGGATGTGCCACTCTTAGAAGTCCACACGCCAGGAGGGAAGTGTCTGGCTTTGGTAGAGGTCCACATATAAAGTAGGACAATGTGGTCATACGTTTTTGGAAGCTCAGTTTTCTGTGTCCCACAGACTCCGGGACCTGGCCCCCAGCTCTGCCCACGGGTTTCTATGCCCCACAGACTCCGGGATCTGGCCCCCGGCTCTGCCCACGGGTTTCTATGCCCCACAGACTCCGGGACCTGGCCCCCAGCTCTGCCCATGGGTTTCTATGCCCCACAGACTCCGGGACCTGGCCCCCAGCTCTGCCCATGGGTTTCTATGCCCCACAGACTCCGGGACATGGCCCCCGGCTCTGCCCATGGGTTTCTATGCCCCACAGACTCCGGGACATGGCCCCCAGCTCTGCCCACGGGTTTCTATGCCCACACACCCTGGGACCTGGCCCCCAGCTCTGCCCATGGGTTTCTATGCCCCACAGACTCCGGGACATGGCCCCCGGCTCTGCCCATGGGTTTCTATGCCCCACAGACTCCGGGACATGGCCCCCAGCTCTGCCCACGGGTTTCTATGCCCCACAGACTCCGGGACCTGGCCCCCAGCTCTGCCCATGGGTTTCTATGCCCCACAGACTCCGGGACATGGCCCCCAGCTCTGCCCACGGGTTTCTATGCTCACATACCCTGGGACCTGGCCCCCAGCTCTGCCCACGGGTTTCTATGCCCCACAGACTCCGGGACCTGGCCCCCAGCTCTGCCCACGGGTTTCTATGCCCCACAGACTCCGGGACATGGCCCCCAGCTCTGCCCACGGGTTTCTATGCCCACACACCCTGGGACCTGGCCCCCAGCTCTGCCCATGGGTTTCTATGCCCACATACCCTGGCACCTGGCCCCCAGCTCTGCCCACGGCTCTGTATCTTGTTCTTCCGCAGCTTCTGCTGCTCACAGCTGTACTTTCAGAAATCGGTTGTCAGGGGAGCCAGGGCCAGAGATGGGTGATGTGGCCAGCCAGGTGGGCAGATGGCACCCGGACATTCAAGGCCCAGCTGAGCCCTGTCCATGGTGCTCTGCCCGCACTGTGTCCAAACGTGATGGCTGGCAGCACTGTGTGGGACAGTTGGAGGGAGGAGGGGCCTGGGCGGTGTTTTTCTCAGTGTCCCCACCCAGGTCCCTGCCATGAGCCTCAGCAGGTTCATTTGCACAGCGAGGTGTCCTGTGACTCAGCTGCGCTGCGCACATAGCGTGGCTCACAGCCTGCCCAATGCGTGTTTGTTCCCACAGGAAGAAGACGGGCTCCGCCTGAGGAAGACGGCGCCGAGCCACAGCCCAATTTCAGCCTTGGCCGCAGCCGGGAAGGAGGAAGGCCTCGGCACGCGGCTCCTGGCACTGGTGGTCTTGTTCTTCATCGTCGGTGTGATCATAGGGAAGATTGCCTTGTAGGGGCAGATGGGATTAACGGATCCACCATATCATGGGATTGAAATTATCATAACCCTGTGTAAAAAGAAATTAACGTATGATGACGTCTCACAGGTCTTGCCTTTAAATGAGCCCTCCCCCACATACGCATACACACACACACGAGTACACACGCAAGTAGAACATACTAAACAGTCTTTTAGAAAGTTGCAAACATGTAGTAGGTGATCGGGACTCAGATGGTCTTCATTTACAGTGAGGGAAACCGTGACAAATGCCACAATGTAATGTCCTTGCGCCTGCTGCTAGGCCTTGCTCTGTGTCGCTGGATTACCGCCCTGACGACTGTCCCTTGCCCGCTGGTGCCTGCCGCCCTCTTCTCCCCCGCCCAGGGGCTGGAGCCCCGCAGCCGGAGTGCGGCCGTCTGCGCCCCGGAGAGCCCCCGCTGCCCACTCCCTGCCCGGGGTGTTCTGCACATCGCCCGTCTGTTGGGACTCTCCATCCCTGGGACTGAGACAGGGTCTCTGCTGTGGCAGCGTGGGACGTCCCGGAGCCAGCGGGGCCTGTGCTGAGCAACCCCACACTCAGAAAGACAGCGCCATGCTTCGTTCTCTCCAAGGGACCAAGCTGACTTACTGTGGGTTCACGTAGTGAAACAGAACTGTTACCCAGAGATGTTTAATGCAGATTTAACTTATTTAGTGTATTTCATCTCATGCTTTCTTTTTGTCACGAGAGTACAATTAGTGCCATGGCCTGGAGGCTACCCGTGCCCCGGGCACCGGGCACTGGGTTGTGAGGCCAGTTGGGCCACGGCAGGCAGTGGGCACTAGTGTCACAGGGTGCCCGGTCCTTGTGACAGCAGCTGCAGGTGGGCTCTCCATGTCTCCAAGAGGTCTGATTGGAGCAGTGACAGTTCTGGGTCGCCCCTCGCACACGGTCCTGTGCTGTCAGGGCTGGGTTAGGCTGGGCAGGGCCCGCAGGGGAGTGAATCGGGAGAGCACGCCGTGGGAGACCCATCCAGTTCTGTTCAACTCTAGCATCTTGGAAAAAAAAATAAATAAAACCCCAACATGAAGAGTGCTTTGTCACTTTGTCACATAGCTCTGCGGGGAGAGTGATCACCCGCTCGTCATCAAGGTTGATTTACAAATGAGTCCTGTCGCTGAGGAATGTGCGTCAGACCCCCTCACGCACCCCGCGGCTCCAGGACGTCAGCGGCCTGCACGGTTGGAGGAGACGCGGCCTTCAGCGTTCAGGGCGGCTCTCATGGCCGTGCACACCTCAGGTCCAGAGGTTGTACAAACGCTGAGCAAGGGCTTCATGGATTGAAAAAAGGTTACACCAGAGCAAATGTCTGCGCTGATGCCAGTTCTCCAGGAGCTCCCGGTGTCCCCTTGTGCGTGTGTACACGTGTGCACTCCTGGCTGGCTTCCACTGAGGCCATGGAGATGAAGCTGCTGGAGGTCTCTGGCACCTGTTCCCTGGCCCTTTGGATCAGGGGCCATGCGGGGCTGCTGCCAGCCATGGGCTGGGGTCCCAGCACAGGCGTGGGTTGGGAGGCTCAGTTAATCTGCAGCAAGAAGCAGCCAATAGTCACATGGCTGTGCTGGCAGGTTGGGCTCGGGGCCTGTGGCAGTGCTGTCATTGGGCAGCTTGCTATCTTTGTGTATTGGTAAAAACAGGCTTCCATAAGCCACAGGTGCTGGCATCCAGCGTGGGGCAGACCAGTTGCTGGGAGCACCCCTGGCTCCGATTGTACCAGCAAATGGGGAGGCTGTTCTGTTCGGCAAGCGAGCAAAAGGAGCTGTGAGTGTAGGTGCCACAGCAGATCTGTCTGTAGCCTGCAGTCCCACCCGGAAGGACCCCCGATGGCAGCGAGTAGGCAGCTGCAGGCCCCGGCGCTGGAGCACAGCCTGCGGTGTTTGCTAAAACAGCTGTAGGGCTGCAGCTGCAGAGCTGGGAAGGTGGTCAGACCTGAGGCTTTGCAGGTGATTGCATGTTGGCTACACAGCTGGCAGGGAGGTGCCCGCTTCTGGGAGGACCGGGACGTCCAGATTTCTCAGCTGACAGTGTTGAAGCCCACAGCTGTCCCCTCCTCAGTCAGCCTCTGCGCTCAGGACCTGGAGAACACACCGGTTGGTTGGTTTTAAATTTATTGAAATTTGACGTCAGATGAGAGGGAGACACAGAGCTGGAGTGAGAGGGCTGTCCCCTGTCTGCTATTTTATCCAAGTGACTGCATGTGTGAGGGCTGTGCCATTTTGGAGCCATGAACTCCATCTGGGTCCCCTGTGAGTGCCGGGGGCCAAGACAACTGGGCCATCTTGCGCTGCCTTTGCAGGAGCAGCAACAGGGAGTGGGATTAGAAGCAGAGCCGAGGGCTGGAACTGGTGCTTGTGTGCAAAGCCGGCACCACAGGCAGCAGCCTGCCTTGCTACACCACCTGGTGTGCCCATTGTGGGACTCTGTGACAGAGTGGAGGCAGGAAGGGGCGCTGCTGGGTGGTGGTGGGAGAGCAAGCCATACTCTGATGTGCCAGAGGGACCTTAGAGCACAGCATGCCCCGCTCGCATTGCAGGAGTCGCAGCTTGCAGGGGACACACTCACGTGGTGGTGGTGGTTGTGGGATGAAAGAAGGAAAAATGAGCGTGAGGTAAGGAAGAGGTGGACATGGCCTTGTCCAAGTTGTCCGTTCTGTCCCAGGAGGTCGAGGCCAACTACAGGAAGAAGCAGGAGGGCGGGCCCAGGGCCCTGGAAGTTGATGGCCGCTGCCCCTGGCAGCTCTGCCTGCTCTGGGCTCCTCGGCCGCCGCGCCAGCCCCAGTGCCTGCCAGTGCATCAGATCAGTCAAAAGTCCTGCTCATTCTCATTGATGGGTTTCTTTAAGGATTCATCTAGCTTTACTGGAAGGTCAGATTTACAGAGAGAAGAGACAAAAAGATCTTATGTCTGCTGGTTCACACTCCAGACGGCCATGATGGCCAGAACTGAGCTGACCCAAAGCCAGGAGCTTCTTTTGGTTTCCCAAGCGGGTGCAGGCTCCCAAGGCCTTGGGCTGTCCTCTGCTACTTTCCCAGGCCACAAGCAGGGAGCTGGAAGGGAAGTGGAGCAGCCAGAACACAAATCGGCATCCACATTGGATCCTGGCAGATGCAAGGCAAGGGTTTAACCACTAGGCTACTGCACTGGGCCCATTTAGATTGAGTTTTTAAATGGATTATTTAAGTTCCCTTGGAACAAAGCAAAATACCCCCTCAAGACAGCAGGCTGCATTATTTGTAGGTATAAGGATCCCACTGTAACTTTTCTCTCCTCCTTGTTTGCATGTCTTCCCTGTCTGGCCTGCTAAACTGCTGGCAGCAGCAGTAATAAATGCTGATAAAATCAAATGGATTTCTACCAGTGGACAGTTTATGCCTAGAGAAATGGCTTATACCCACATAACACGGGGAAATGGGGAACCTGCAGCGATCCGTGAAAACCCCAGAAACGACATCACTACGGAAAGACATCAGACTGGCTTGTGGGCTGTCGGGTCGGTCAGAGCTGGACGTGCTGAGAGCTCAGCACGGAGTAGCCTTTACATTAACTTGGAAACAAGCTGTGTGTATGTGGGCATGCATCCGTGCCCGCCTGTGTGTGAATGCGGGCGTGTATGTGTGCCCGCCCGTGTGTGTATGTGGGCATGTATGTGTGCCCGCCCGTGTGTGTATGTGGGCATGCATGTGTGCCCGCCCGTGTGTGTGTGCCTGCCCGTGTGTGTATGTGGGCATGCATGCGTGCCTGCCCGTGAGTGAGTGTGTAGGAGCAGTTTGACGGTTCTCACTGGTGCCTGAGCTTTTGCATGCAGGGATCTCTGTAAGACTTCGAATACACAGCCCTGTATCATGCCCTCTGTTGTGCTCAGCTCCTGGAGCCATCCCGCCCTGGGGATATTTCTGCCTGGTCTGTGAGATCTTGGCTGAAAGGGAAGAGAGCTGGGGGTTTTCTGTCCCCCACAGCACTTGAGTAATGTTCCTCTCTACAGAGCCTTGGGTGCAGCTGGCTTCCTGCTCCCTCTCCTCTCCTACTGACCTGCTGGCACTAGTGGAAGGTGTCTGGTCCCAGGGGCCTGCCTCAGCTGAGCTTGGGGCCATCATTGCCGAGGGTATGTGCTTTCAAAGATGAGCAGAAACAGCTGTTTCCTGAGCGCCTGGGAGAGGGTGAATGGCTGGCAGAGTTGGCAGTCTCCAGGAGAGGGCTGGTAGATGTGCACTCTCCGGGTCTCCACCCCGGCCCCCTGTAAGGATGCTGCGCTCAGGCTCTGTCCAGCCTGACTGGATTAGGAGGTTTTGTCATACTGAGCTGCTGCCCCACCTTGTTCCCAGCTCATCCCAGCTGCGGTTCTCTGGGCTCAGTCCCCTGGGTGCTGAGAACCCTGCGGTGCAGGAAGGGGAGCCCTGTTCCGAGGGAAGCACTGCTGTAAGGCCAACTCCACTGGGATAGATGGACACTGCCAGCAGGCACTGGGAATGCACTGGGCGCTCAGCTGCTTGGCCCCCTGCGTGGGCTCCCGTGCCTGGCTGGTTGGCCCACGATGCTAGCACACACTTCCTGCACACCAGACACAGTGCCCGTGGTGAGGAAACGCGTGCTGTCCATTCCCTTCCTGCCTGCAGATGTTTGCCCAGCACGCGCATCGGGGCTTGGGGCGGGCAGCTGTCTCAGCTCGGGGGTACCGGAGGACTTCGGTGGGCAGCTTTGCATAGCTTGTAAATTTAAATGTAAACACAGGTGCTTCATTAAAATGGGCCTGGCAGAAGTGGGCTGCTGAGGCTTGGAAGGTGACAGCACGGCCAGTTTTGCAGGCCTCTCACTGAATTAGCGCCGGGTTGCTGTGGGAAGTGGGCCTGCAACCCTGGCTGGGGGCAGCAGCTGAGAACCCAGCTGGGCTGCATCTGCGGGGAGACGAACCTCGCTCCTGCCCAGCCTGGAGCCCATCAGCCGCGCACAGAACCAGCTGCTGCGCCAAGGCCTCTGCCCGCCTGTGTGCAGCTGTGTCCGTGGCACTCAAAAAGAGGACTCTGTTTAACTTATTTTCATTTCAGAGGTATTTTGAAAAATTTGAAAGACATGCACACACATACACAGGGATAATAGTGTAGGTGGATGAATGGATGAATTTAATTACTTCAGGTTTTTCTCCTTAATGGAATTAATTCATTAGGAAATGTCTACATCAAATCTTCAGGAAAAGGAAGGAAAGCCAGCAACAAAAATCTAGCAATTATCTAACTTGCCATAAATATTTGCAATTACGATACTTGGAATGTTGCCACCATATGGATTGCTGGGGAGAGCGGCTTTTGCTGATGTTTGAACCAGCAGACAGCGTCCCATGACAGGGCCTTGTGCTGACCACCTCATCCCGCCACGGGGCCCACGACGACACGGAGTCATCCGGCCACTGCACGCGGGTCCGGAAGCTTGCTTGTTGCCCCCCAGCTCTCCGCCTTGAGGCTCTGCTGAGCCCCGCAGCCCGCCGGGGGCTGTGCCGCAAGAGCTGCCTGCTGTTCCCCTCCAAGTGCTCCTGAAGGGACCCCCAGCTTCGACCCAGATTCTTTCTGTTTGCCTTACAGAATGCACGCTCTACGAGACACCAAACGCGCAGCTCGCCCAGGCTTGGGCTGACAGGGAGGCAGGGCATCTGTTGGTTGGCCAGCTGCTACATGGGCATGCGCGTTTCGCGGGTTGGTGCGCCGGTTCTCCTTGTTACATAAACAGGCCTTCTGCGCTCTCGCGTCTTTTGTTTCGAAAAGTAAATTCCACTTTTATGTGAATTCATTCAGCATGTAGGTTTGTTCCCCTCACTCAATTTTGTATATGGACTTAAAGGTCAAACCCTACTGCGTGCGTGGTGCCCCGTGTGCCAGGATTGCTTTTTCCTTAACTTCCACTCTGCCTCATTTCTGTCCGGGCCTTCTGAGGGACTGTGAGACTCATCAGTGGCAGTGGCTGTCTGCCTCGGACCACACCACTCCTTGAGCTTCCACGCCCAGGGGACGCAACGCTCCGCGGGCTCCTCCTTTGCTGCTGT